ATGTCCCAAAATGAATTTTTAATAAATCCACGCCTCTTGCCATGTCCCAAAATTAATTTTTAATAAATCCCTGTTGTGAAACGCCTCATGCTGTACATTGGCAAAGGTTTTGAACCTTTAACTGTGAGAATTTTTGATGACCAAGGTCATGTCCAAAAACGTTTTGACAATATCTCAATATAAGTCATTCATAGAGGCTATAAGTCAAAAAAAAAAATTCCAGAAAAAACATGTTTTTCAATATTTTTCTCAACCTCTTCATTAATGAACAGAACTCATTGTATGGCCGGCCTACTACCCACTCCCCCATGAGAATTTGAATGAATACACCAAAAATATTTAACACTTATTTTTGTCATCAAATTTGTTTAACAAATTTACAAAAAAAAACGAAGACAACAACAAAAGGCGGAAGACCTCCCCACCTCCCAAAGAAAAAAAAAAACAAAACAATTCCGATGCAGATAATAACACATCGTTTAACTAATTTTCGGTTACTAATAGAAGGTTGTTGTCAATTTTGTTTTTTTTTCGTTTCGGGCTTTATGACTGTGACGAAGTTCTCCGGACATTTATTTTGATGGGAATAATTTTTTTTTGTCAGCATTTAATTTGTTTAACTTTTTTAGAATCCGATGGGATTTAGGTAATAAAAGCCAACGACAATTACTAATATTATTATGTGGAGATTAATTTGCGCATTTAAAATGGAAAAAAATTGTAAACATTTCAAAATTAGTTACTTCGTTGATCAAATCAATTAATTAACGAAGTTTCGGATATCACGTATGCAGTACTGGGCATTAAGTACGACATCATAGCCATTATAGTCATCATCAAGGGAAAGGATTTTTGTTAATTGCATTTTTGATGAGTAATTCACTTACACATTTCAAATAAAAAATTATTCAATTTTTTTTAAAATTTTTTTTAATTTTCGGATTTTTTCATAATTTTTATTTAAATAACCCCAAAAGAGGCGTGGATTTATTAAAAATTAATTTTGGCACAATTTACTTGGTGGAGATTTATTAAAAAATATTTTTGGGACTAAAAAAAATTTGGGACAAAGAACTTGGTGGAGATTTTTTAAAAAATATTTTTGGGACAAAAAAAATCTATTTTTTTTTATTTATTTTATTTTTTAATTTATTTCTTTGCCTTTATTTGTCCATAAATAATACCCAGTAATATATATATAAACCAGTGAGCGGAGCAGTATAGTCGGACGGAGCGAAAAGCAAACTTTCTACGGATCTATATTCTGAGCCTGGTTAGAGATGGTTTTTTTCCGGGTAAATACCCAAGGGGTGGGTAAATATCCATTTGCGGGTATTTATTTGGGTATTTACTATATTGAATCGCTAATCCAACAACTTACACACTATTTCCGGGTTTTTGTTATCAAATCGATTTATAGCTTTACAAATTTATAGCTTTACGATACTTTAAATACTTGGGTAAATACTTTGGTAAATATCCGACTATTTACCCAAAAATTGGATATAAACTCATTAACTGCCGTACCACTTGAGATAGGTGGCCAAATTACAAATTATAATGGACAGATGTCTAGATCGATTCAGCTAGTCGAGATATGACGATCGGTATACTTGAATGTGGGTCTAGGACCTATATTTCGCGGCATTACAAACTCTTGGGCCTCCTTGAAGCTATAATACCCTGACAACATAGTTGTGTGGAGTGTAATAAATTATCATATTAATAGGAACCACCGTTTTCGTTTGGACCTAATTCATTGGGTATTTGTTAAGCAAATTTGTACTGTACAAAAATAATATAAAAAAATCTTATTTAAATAAGAAATGTTTTACATTGGATTTATCTCCCTGCCTGAGGACATTTTCGTTTCGGGGTACCTCATTGGGTATTTGTTAAACAATTTAGGCAAACAAGGGCTTGTTCGAAGCTAACATTCCATGGTCCAAATATAACGAAAAGTTTTGAAACATACTGTACAAAAACAAGTTAAAAAAATTTAATTTAAATTAGAAATATTTTACATTGAATTTTTCTCCCTGCCTGAGGACATTTTTGTTTCGGGGCAATTCATTCAGTATTTGATAAGTAATTTAGACAAACATGGGCTTGTTGGGAACCTAACATTCCATGCTCCAAATATAACGAAAAGTTTTGAAACATACTGTAAAGAAACAATTTAAAAAAAATGAATTTATATTAGAAATATTTTACATTAAATTTGTCTCCCTGCCTGAGGACATTTTTGTTTCGGGGAATTCATTCAGTATTTGTTAAGCAATTTAGACTAACAAGGGCTTTTTGGAAAACTAATATTCTACGCTTTTAATATTACAAAAAATTTTGAAACTTTTCAATAACAAGATAAAAAATTCCCATTTAAATTAGAAATATTTTACATTGAATTTTTCTCCCTGCTTGAGGACCTTTTCGTTTGTACAAAATTCATTGAGTATTTGTTAAGCAAATTAAGCCAACAAAGACGTTCGGGAAAGCTAACACAATAAGCTTTGATAATGTCAAAATAATTGTATACAGTATAGTTTAAAATATTAGAAAATTTTGTTTAACAAATTTCATTGGTTTTCCAAAGAATTTATTTTGTTTCATTAAAGGCAGCCATTTTTTTCTTTTGGCTAATTTTATTAAGTTTTTGTTAAGCAAATTAGACATGTCTGGGCTTGTTGGAAAGCGAACACAATAAACGTTGAATATTACAAAAGATTTTTGTCCCACATGTTTTCAATATTACAATAATTTGCTTAACAAATTTTAATTTTTTTCAATGGATTTTCTTTATCTTTTCTACAATTAGACATTTTCCTTTTGGTAAATTTTGTTAAGAATTTTTTAAGCAAATTTTATATATATAGGCTTGTTGGAAAGCTAACACAATAAAATTTTAGAATGTGAAAAGATTTTTGTTCCATCAAGTTTCAATTATTACAAATTTCTGCTTAACAAATTTGAATTATTTTTTTTCAAAGGCATTTTGTTAGCCTCTCTAGGCAGGGAGGGGGTTATTCCTTTTGATTAATTTCTAAAAGTATTTGTTATGGAATTTAAACAATTAAGAGCTTGTTGGAAAGCTAACACAATAAGCTTTCAGAATAACAAAAGATTTCAATTTAGTTTAATTTAAAATATTTTAAGAATTTACTTAAGAAATTAAAATTTTTTAATGACATTTTGTTTATCTAGACATTTTTCTTTGGGTAAATTTTATTGAGAATTTTTTAACCAATTTTATGCAATATGGATCCATTTTGAAAGCTAACATAATAAGCTTTGATAATGTGAAAACATTTTTGTTCCATCAAGTTTCAATTACAAGAAATTTTTGCTAAACAAATTTGAATTAGTTTCATCAAAGGCATTTTGTTAGTCTCTCTAGGCAAGAAGGGACATTTTCCTTATCGTCAATTTAATTAAGATTTTTTAAGCAATATTATTGAATATGGGCTTGTTTAAAAGCTAACACAATAAACTTTTAGAATGTGAACAGATTTTTGATCCATCAAGTTTAAATTACAAGAAATTTTTGCTAAACAAATTTGAATTAGTTTCATCAAAGGCATTTTGTTAGTCTCTCTAGGCAGGAAGGGACATTTTCCTTTTCGTCAATTTTATTAAGATTTTTTAAGCAATATTATTGAATATGGGCTTGTTTGAAAGCTAACATAATAAACTTTGAGAATGTGAAAAGATTTTTGTTCCATCAAGTTTCAAATATAAGTAATTTTTACTAAACAAATTTGAATTGATTTTTCAAAGGCATTTTGTTAGTCTCTCTTGGCAGGTAGAGGGTTTTCTTTTGCCTAATTTTTAGAAGTATTTGTTAAGTAATTTAAACAGTTATGGGCTTGTTGGAAAGCTAACACAATATACTTCTAGAATATCAAACGATTTTTGTTCTATCATTATTCAAAAATCAAAATATTTTACTAAACAAATTAAAATTATTTTTTTTCCAAGGAATTTTTTTATCCTATCCTCGAGTTAGCTACAATAACAATTTTCAATTTTACAATATCAGAATCCATCATTTATATTTCATATCTGGGGAATTATTTTCCAAAATAAAATATTGAAAAAAAATTTTTTTTTCAAATAAAAAAATATATTTTTTTAATTAAAGAAATACAATTTTTTTAAATACAAACATTTTTTTCAGACAAAAAAAAAATCAAAAACATAATTATTTTTCAAAAAATTTCTTAAATTTTATTTTTACAAAAAAACACACAGAATTTATGTACAATCATACAAAAAAAATATTTTTTTGGAAAAAATTAAGTACTTTATATTTTAAATTTTCAAAAAAAAATAATTTGGACATATAAAAATATATTTAAATATATATATTTTTTAACCCTTTCAATACAAATTAGGATTTTTTCTATGTTTTATTAAGAATTTAAATACCAAATATATGATCTCTAAATTTGCCTCTCATTTAATTTCTTCTCTTCTTTTATATTCGGTATTGAAAATAGGGTTTTTTAACATATATTTTTTTTACATTTATAATTGGATTCTTATATGTACAATACATTTACATACAATTAAAAAATAGATGTCTATTCTAAAGTTTTATTTTTTTAATTTTAAATAACAAACATTTCTTTTTTTTAAATTCTAACCTATATTTTTTGTTTTCATTTATTTTCTACTACACAAACTTGTTCCAGGCACTTTAATATTTTTTTTAATTATTGTTTTTATTTAAGTGATAATTTTGTCGTTTTTGTTGTGGTATTTTTTTGAAATGTTTCGTTACAATTTTCTTTTTTCCGATACTCAAAGAAAATTTTTACTAAATCAAAAAAATTTTCAACTAACCTAAAATTTCTTAAATCTAAAAAATATATAATAATATTAAAATTGTCATAACAAGGACTCATCACCGCCATCATCGTAGTCATCTGCACGACGATCCGCAGCATGCCGATCTACCTGAGGAGCATCCTTATTTACTAAGCCTTGATTACTTGTACCAATACTACTACCCGCGGTAGTCGCTGTCTTAACATAATCTAAATATCACGCCATACGACACGCATTGGCATATTCCACAGCATCATGAAGGGTGGGGAAAATTTCGAAGGGTCCTTCGCCCAGCACCATACTATGCACAAGACAATCATAGACACGATCGGTGGGTGTTGCCATCAAAGTGCACACGCCACGTTTTTCCAAATCATTTTTAATATCGGATAGAGTACGACAGCCGGCGACATCTATGTGACCCAACATTGAGAAATCCAGCACCAAATAACGGAAGGAACTATTTAGATGGTTGAGGCCGCCATTTGCCGTAGCTGAGCCATTTTGTGAGAGAGGTATGTAGGAAGCTCGGCGTGCCTTTTCACTATCCAAACCCAGTGCTTTGTTTAGAGCCTTACGGAAATACATAGAGGTGGCGAAATTTAGCGAACCTGCATAACGGAAGATTTTTGTTTCCGGCACTTCGAAGGCGTTGCGATGATGATTCATATCAACATAGACCGCTGAGGCTTCAGGGATATAACCTAAGAGGCAAGCATAGGGTTTAAGGCCTTTGATATATAGCGAGAGTAGCGATATGCAAACACCAATCAGGAGACTGAAAAAAGAAAAAAAAATATGGAATTAGATTAAAAATAGTCCTCAATGCAACAAAAAATATACGAATAGGTCCATTTATAACGTCCGATCCCTTTAAAAAATCTCCAAAAAATAGTTTTTGACGATTTTAACCTAAATACTGTAAGCGATTTAGTTGAAATTTGGCTCATCGAGATCTCAGATCGTATAGAACCTCCCAGCAAAAAATTATGGACTTGGGTCCATGTTTTGGTATAGCCACCCTTATAAAATTCCTGCAAATTTTAAGTTTTTTTGCGATTTTAGTCTAAAAATTTAAAACGATTTGAATGAAATTTTGATCATGATGTTCGCAGAGGGTACAGAAGCTCCATACAAAAAATTGTGGCGTTGGGTCCTTGTTTAGGGTTAGGCCCCTTCATAAATGTCGCAGATTTTCAGATTTGGTTGAAAATTTGCACATCTGGTTCTCTTAAGGTATAATACCAACTTGCAAAACATTGCTGACCTGGGTCCATGTTTAAGGTTAGTCCCCTTTAAGAATGTTGCAGATTTTCAAGCTTTTTGGCTATAAAATCGACATTTGTGAACCGATTTGGTTGTAACTAGATATATCGTATTCTCAGAGGGTGGAAAACCTCTATAGAAAAAAATGAACGGCATAGGTCCCTGTTTAAGAGTAGACCCCTTTTTAATAAGGTTCAAAATAAAACCTTTTTGTCGATTTAAATCCCAATATTTTAAACGATTTGGATGAGGGTATAAAACCTCTTTGCAAAAAATTATGGACCTGGGTCAATGTTTTGCATTAGACCCCTTTATAAAAATCGTTGAAATACAAGTTTTTCTAAGATTTTAACCTCGAAAATTTAAACGATTTGGATGAAATTTGGCACGTTGGGTACTCAGGGGGTATAAAACCTCCTTGCAAAAAATTGAGGACCTGGGTCCATGTTTGTGTGTAGGCCCCTTTATAAAAATCGTTCAAATAAAAGCTTTTTGACGATTTTAACCTCCAAATTTAAAACGATTTGTAAAAAAATTGGCTCATCGAGTTCTTTTAAGGTATATAACCTACTTGCAAAAAATTGTGAAGCTGGGTCCATGTTTGGGTATAGACCTCTATAAAAATCGTTTAAAAAAAGCTTTTTGATGATTTTCACCTCAAAATATAAAACGATTTGGATGAAATTTGGCACATAGAGTTCTTAGAGAGTATAATACCGAGTTGCAAAAAATTGTGGTCCTGGGTCAATATTTACCGATAACCTCCCCTTTGCAAATGGTACTCAATTGGATCCTTTTTGGGCATCATATCCATATTTTCGAACCGATTACGACGAAATGTTCCATATGGGGTTCTCATACGATATATTTCTTCCTTACAAAAAATTGTGGCCCTGGGTCAATGTTTAGTGATAAGAAAATCGAAAGCTTTTTGGTTCGCACATTCACATTTTCGAAACGATTTCGATAAAATTTAGTACATGGGTATCACATATGGTATAATACCTCCATGCAAAAAATTGTGGACTTAGGTCTTCTTTTAAGCATAGCCCCCTTTAAGAACATCGTCCGATATCAAGCTTTTTGACGATTATATCTACATTTTCGAACCGATTTTGGTGAAATTCAGCACATCGGATTTTCGGAGTGTGCAACACCTCCTTGCTAAAAATTGTGGAATTGGGTCCAAATTTTATAATAGTCCCTTTCAAAAATGTTACCCAATTAAAAGCTTTTTGGCCATCATATTCACATTTTCGAATCGATTTGGCTAAAATTTAAAACACAGGGTTCTCAGAGGGTATACCACATCCCTGCAAAATATTACGAACTTGGCTCAATGTTTAGGTATAGCCGCCTTTAAGAAAATCGTAAAATCGAAAGCTTTTTGGTTCTCACTTTTACATTTTGGAACCGATTTTGATAAAATTTGGTATACGGGGTTACAAGAGGATGTAATACCTCATTGTAAAAAAATTGTGGACTTTGGTCCATATTTAGTAATAGTTCTCTTTAAAAACGGTACCGAATTGAAAGGTTTTTGGTCTTTATATCCAACTTTTCGAATCGATATGACTGAAATTTGCCACATCGGGTTCTCAGAGGTCATGATACCTCCTTGCAAAAAATTGCGGACTTCGGTCTATATTTAGTAAAGGTACCATTTAGAAAAGGTACCTAATTGAAAGTTTTGGCCATCAAATCCACATTTTTCAAACCGATTTGGACGAAATTTGGCACATCGTGTTCTCAGAGGGTATGATACCTCCTCTTGCAAAAAATTGCCGGCTTTGGTCTATATTTAGTCTATTACTAGAAAAGGTCCTTATTTGAAAGCTTTTTGGCCATTATATCCACATTTTTAAACCGATTTGGTCGAAATTTGGTACATCGAGTTCTCTTGCTAAAAATTGTGGACTTTGGTCCATATTTAGTAATAGACCCCTTTAGGAAGGGCCCTTCTGCTGAACTCACCCAATATCAATGTCGATTAGCACCACACACAAGAATGTCGAAATCCATGTCAGCAGCTCCAATTTTCCTTGTTTGGCGAATTTCTTCAATTCACAGGCCTGCATAAACATGGGTTTCAGGGCAACAATAATAACACCAGCCAGGACGCACTACAAAAACAAAATAAAACAATAAAATTCTTAAAAACAATCCCAAAAAATCCATTTCTAACTTACCCTGGGTAAAAAGCTAAAGAAAGGTCCAGCCCAGAAAAGGGTAACCAAAATAATACCCGCCGATACCAAAGAAGCCAATTGTGTCGCCCCACCCGTCTGCTCTTGAATCAACGAACGTGACAGCGAACAGGCCAAGGGTATACATTGGAAAAATCCACCAACAATATTACCAATACCCATGGCAAACAATTCCTGATTCGGACGCACTTCATATGAATGTTTTTTGGCAAAGGTCAAACCCAAAGACATTACAATCGAATAGGTGACAATCGCAATGGCAATTGAGTCCACAAAGAGGTGTGGCGCTAAATCCATACGTGGTAATACTGGCATTGGTAGACCGGCGGGAATTTCTCCCACAGGTTTGATGTTATATTTTGTTTGGACATCGACTAGCATTGAGATAACCGTGCCTCCGATGACGGCTATCAATTCGGCGGGTAGTGGGAAACGGCATCGTTTTCGTAGACATGGCTTTATGATCTCATTACATATTGTCATAAAGACCATAATGCCAAGGCAAAAGATCAGTGCGGCAACATTGGTTTTGGGCATGGCCTTACCCAAATCGATGAGGGTGTAGATAATTTTAAAGGCACCCTTATGACGAGGAACTGAAACACCGAAAACATCCTTTAGCTGGCTGGTAACCACATGACAGGCGGCACCGGTTGTGAAGCCATTTACCAGCGGGTCACTGAGCAGCGAGGAGAGGGTACCAAGTCTTAAGAAACCCATGGCAAGCTGGAAAGGGAAAAAAAGAAGAGTGGATTAGTAGGGATTATAAAATAATACAATAGATCTATATAAGGTATGCTATTTATAGAATAGGACTTCTAAAGGTAGAAAATATAAAAAACATCAACACAAGTCAAAGTTCGGTTAAAGCTCCCATACACACAGAACCCTCCAATTTCCATTTCAAAGGTTTTAACCGACATTTGCCAACGGATTTAATTGTAATTTGGCAGACAGGGTTTTCTTAGGGTTGAGAAGCTCCCAACAAAAAATTCCCAACCTAGGTCCATATTTCCGTATAGCTCTCTTTACGATTTCTTCAAAATCCTTTTCCTCGATTTTAGACCGATTTTCGAATTGATTCAGGTCTCTTTAAGAATATCATCAAATAAAATGCTTTTTAATGATTTGAACCCCTTTCTTCGAACACATAGGCTTCTCTAGCAGTAGAAAAGCTTCATGCAAAAAATTATCTGGTTAGATCCACATTTCGGCATAGACACCTTTAGAAATATCGACAAAATATTCTCTACGTTACAAATACAAATACGTTTTTGTACCGATTTGGTTTAAATTTGGTACACAGGGTTCTCAGAAGGTATAGAACCTCCATGCAAGATATTGCAACTCTGGGTCCAAAATTTGATATAGGTCCCTTTACGAAAATCATCAAATAAAATGCTTTTTGATGATTTGAAGTAGTTTTTTTGAATCGAATTGGCTAAAAATTTTTATGTCGGGTTCTCTGGCAGTAGTAGAAATACTATATGGAAAAAATTGTCAGGTTAGGTCCATGTTTCGGAATAGCCACCTTTAGAAATTTCGACAAAATGTTCTCTTTTTGAAGATAACAAAAGCATATTCGAGGCAATTGGTTTAAAATTTTGTACATAGGGTTCACAATAGGTATAGAACCTCCATGCAAAAAAATTATCTTTCTAGGTCCAAAATCTCATATAGGCCCCTTTATGAAAATCACGCAACCAAAACCTTTTCGATGATTTCAATCACATTTTCCATATCAAATTAGATGTAATTTGGCACATGAGGTTCTCGATGCTTGGAAAACCTCCATGCCGAAAAATATAAATTTTATATAGCTCCAATTAGAAATATCGTTAAATTCTTTTTGACGATTACACGAAAACTTTCCAACCAATTTTGCTGAAATTTGGTGTATGAGGTTCTCAGAGAGTCAAAAACTTCCGTGCAAAAAATTATGGAACTGGGTCTATTTTTCGTTATAACTGCCTTTATAAATACCGTCGAAGTATAAGCTTTTTGGGGATTTTGGCTACAATTCCCACCTGATTCAGCTGTTATTTGCTACATGGGGATCTCAGAGGGTCGAAAACCTTCATGCAAAAAATTTTTCAATATAGCTGCCTTTATGAATGTCATCGAAGTAGAGGATTTTTTGGAGATTTTAAGCATTTTATCCAAGCGATTTGGTTGTAATTTGGCAAATGGTGTTCTCCGACGTTGAATAGCCTCCATACAACAAATTATGGATAAAGGTCCAAATCTCGATACAGTGCTCTTTATGAATAACTTCGAAGTAAAAGTTTTTTGGAGATTTAAGCTACATTTTTTAAACGAATTGGCTTTAATTTATCACATTAGGTTCTCGGAGGCTGGACAACCTCCTCCAAATACCAGCAGAATGGAAGCTTTTTGTCGAATCCAATCACATTTTCCAACCGAATCAGCTATTTTTAGGATAATGAGGTTCTCTGAAGGTGGTAAACCTCCATGCAAAAAATTGAGGCCACAGGTCCACATTTCGGTATATACCCCTTTATAGATTCCAAAAAATTAAAAGCTTTTTAGCGACTTTAGATATATTTTCCAAGTGATTTAGCTGCAATTCGGTACATAAGGTTCTCGGAGGGTAGACTATCTCCATGCACAAAATTATGGACATAGGTTCATATTTTAGTATAGGGCCCTTTATAAATTCCGCAAAATTAAAAGCTTTTTAGAGATTTTGTCAACATTTGACAAGTGATTCGGCTAAAATTCGGCATACAGGGTTCTCGAATATCAGAAAGCCTCTATGCAAAAAATTATGTACATAGGTCCACATATCGGTGTAGACCCCTTTATAAATGTCATCGATGTGAAAGCTTTTTCGAGATTTCTGCTACATTTTTCAACCGAATCGGCTGTTATTTGGTACATGGGTTTCTCTGAAGGTGGTAAACCTATATGCAAAAAATTATGAACATAAGTCCACATTTCGGTATAGGTCCCTTTATAAATGTCAGCGGAAATAGATCTTTTTACCGATTTCAGCCACATTTTCCAAGTTATTTGGCTATAATTTGGTACATGGAATAATCGGAGGCTGGACAACCTCCATGCAAAAAATTACGGACATAGGTCCACATGTCGGTGTAGACCCCTTTATAAATATCATCGAAGTGTAAGCTTTTTCCCAATTTTATCTAAATTTTTCAATCGACCAGGCTATAATTAGTAGCATGGAGTTCTGGGAGCCTGGACAACCTCCATGTAAAAAATTATAAACATAGCTCCACATTTCAGTATAACCACCTTTATGCAAAGTTTCCGAATAGAAGCTTTTTGGAGATTTTAGCTACATTTTTCAAGCAAATTGATTCTAATTTCGCATAAGGAGTTTTTAGAGGCTGGACAACCTCCATGCAAAACATTGTCGAAATCGGTCCACATTTCGGTATAGGCGCCTTTAGAAATGCCATCGAAGTGTAAGCTTTTTCTCAATTTTAGCTAAATTTTTCAATCGACCGGGCTATAATTAGCAACCTGGCGTTCTCTGAGTGTGGACAACCTCCATGCAAAAAATTATGAACATAGGTCCACATTTCGGTATAGCCACCTTTATGCAAAGTTTCCGTAATAAAAGCTTTTTGGAGATTTTAGCTACATTTTTTCAAGCTAATTGATTCTAATTTCGCATATGGAGTTCTTGGAGGCTGTGCCACCTCCATGCAAAAAATTGTCAAAATCGGTCCACATTTCGGCATAGCCGCCTTTATGAATGTCAACTAATGCGAAGATTTTTGAAGATTCTGGTTACATTTTCCAAGCGATTTGGCTCTAATTTCCCAAATGAGATTGCCAGAGGGTGAGTAACCTTCTTGCTAAAAATATCCGCCCTCGAACCCCATATAACATTTGAGTTATTTTTCTGGTTATAGACAAAATTAACACAGGCTCCTAAAAGTATGCTTCACTTTGTGAAGTCAAATTTGTTCTCGACTAAAAAATAAAACAAAACTTTTGATTATTTCGTTCAACAGAATTTGATCTACTTACATGTAATATTCCCGTTGTAAAAGCCAACGTTGTTACCACCTCCAGTGGCGTTATCAAACCCTCACCACCCTCAGCCAATTGTTGTTCATCCGATGCATAGGACTGCACCACCTTCAGTGTCATCATACTCGCCACAGCAAATGTACCAATCGAGATGTGTTTCGATGTACCCAATATCATATAGACTAATGTAGGAAATATGGCCATATATAGCCCTGATCCGGGTGATACACCCGCCAACAGACCATAGGCCATGCCATGAGGTATATGCATAATGGCAACCGTAAAACCCGCAATAATATCTCCAATTAAATCACGTTTCGGTGAATATTTCGGTAACCATTGTACGATGGGTATGATGCCGGCAAACATTGACCAAAATGACCAATTTTGCCAACATTTTTTCAAACCATAGGGTATACTTTTATCGCGGGCATTATAACCAGTTTGTTTGATCACCAACTCGTGGGTCATAACATCACGATGGACATCGTATTTGGGTTGGATTTTTGGTTTCGACTGGGTGCCACCACCGCCACCATTCGGACTGAGGGGCTTTTTGGCTCTGCAAGGAAAAAAAGATAAATTAATACGGATTTAAAAATTTTGCAAGGAGTCAAAAATACTTACTCAGCATCACCATTCTCTAGGCTATTGGTTTTCGACATTTTATTTATGACCTGAAATGCCTCTATATCCTCATCGGTATATTGAAATTTAATTAGAAATGGATGATTACAAATCACCGTTTGGTTACTTAGAATTCCTTGAGCCTCGTATTGTGTTGAGATTTCATTATATCTTTTAGCGGATGTTGTTGTTTTATTGGCTTGTTGTTGTTGTGATTTGATTGTAGTCAAATGAAACGAAGAACCAGCTCCGTGAAAAGGACTTCGTGCCGAGGGCGATTGACAATAATAGGCAGCGTATTTGCGTATACGTTTTAAGTCAATGCGTTTCTGGAAAAAAGGAAAAAATCGAAGAAGAAAAAATTTGAGGTTAGAATATTTTTGAGGTTATGTGAAATTTATAAAAATCTATTTTTTGGGAAATTTAAAAAATAACTATTCTAAGGGGTTTAAGACTATCCTATTTAAGTTATATATGAATATAAAATACCAAAATATGGGGTTTTTAGGAAAATTCAAGGTTATGTCAACAAGATGGTGGATCTGATATTTTTTTAGACACATTTTCTAAGCGTTTTGGTTGTAATTCGCTGCATGGAGTTCTCGGAGGCTGCTGAAAGCTCCACAAATACAATTATGGACATTAGCCCACATTTCGGTATAGGTCCCTTTATGAATACCGTCGAAATATATGTTTTTTTGAAGATTTTCGGCACAAAAAAATTATGGGCATAGGTCCAAATTTCGGCATAGTTCCCTTTATAAATGACCTCGAAGTGGAAGATTTTAGGCACATTTACCAATGGAACTATTTGCAATTTGATACACTAGATTCTCAAGGACTGTACATCCTCCATGGATAAAATTGTGGACCCAGGACCACATTTCGATGTAGCTCCCTTTATGAGCGACACCGAAAAGGAAGTTTTTTGAGGATTTTTGGCACATTCTTGAATGGAAGTGGCTGTAATTAGGTGCATGGGGTTCTCAGAGGATGTACAACCTCCATGCCAAAAATTATGGACATAGATCCACATTTCGATATAGCCCACTTTATAAATGACCTCGAAGTGGAAGCTTTTTAATGATTTTAGACACATTTTTGAATCAAAATGGCTGTAATTTGACACATGGAGTTTTCCGAGGTCGTACAACCTCGTTGTAAAAAGTTATGGACATAGGCCCACATTTTGGCATAGCCACCTTTATAAATAAAATCAAATTCGAAGCTTTTTGACGATTTTCGGTACATTTTCTAACCCAGTTAGCTACAATTTGACACATGGAGTTCTCTGAGGCTGTGCAACCTCCATGCAAAAAATTAGAGACATCGGTCCACATTTCGGCATAGGCCCCTTTATAAATAACATCGAAGTGGAAGCTTTTTGAGGATTTTAGAAACATTTTTAAATTGAATTCGTGCAATTTGGTTATGGAGTTACCTGGACAACTTCCATGCAAACAATTATGAGTCAAGGACCCCATTTCGACATGGTCTCCTTTATAAATGGCATCGAAGTTGAAGCTTTTTGTATATTTTCGGCACATTTTCCAATCTAATTGGTTGTAATTCGGCGAGTGAGGTTCTCGAGGGCTGGACAACCTTCCTGCAAAAAATTATGGAATCAGATCCAAATTTCGGTATAGAACCATTTATAAATAGCATCGAAGTGGAAGCTTCTTGAATATTTTCGGCACATTTTCCAATCAAATTGGTTGAAATTTGATACTTGGAGTTCTCAGAGGCTGGTCAACCTCCATACAAAAAAATTATGGGCATAGGTCCAAATTTCGGCATAGCTGCCTTTATAAATGGCATCGAAGTGGAAGCTTTTTTAAGATTGTATGCACATTTTCCGATGGATTTTGTTGTAATTTGGTATATAGAGTTCTCCGAGGCTGGACAATCTCCATGCAAGAAATTTTGGATATAAGGCCAATTTTCGGCATAGTTCCCTTTATAAATGACGTCGTAGTGGGAGCTTTTTGAAGATTTCAACCAAATTTTCCACTAAAATTCAGTGTAATTGGGCATTTGGGGTTCTCGGAGGCTGGAGAACCTCCATGCAAAAAATGATGTGAATTGGTCCACATATCGGCAGTGTTCCCTTTATAAATTACCTCGAAGTGGAAGCTTTTTAAGGATTTTAGACACACTTTCCAAACGAATTGGTTGTAATTCGGCATATGGGGTTCTCGGAGTCTAGTCAACCTCCATGAAACGGATTATGGGTATAGGTCCACATTTCGGCATAGCTTCCTTTATAAATGACATCGAAGTGGGAGCTATTTGAAGATTTTAAGCACATTTTCCATCCGAATTGTCTGTAATTTGACACATGGAGTTCTCCGAGGCTATACAACCTCCATGCAACGCATTATGGACATAGGTCCACATTTCGGCATAGCCCCCTTTTATAAGTGGCATCAAAATTCAAGCTTTTATACAATTTTCGGTAGATTTCCCAGTGGAATTTATTGTAATTCGGCATATGGGGTTCTCGGTGGCTGGAGAACCTCCATGCATAAAATGATGTAAATTGGTCCACATTTCGGCATAGTTCCCTTTGAAAATTACATCGAAGTGGGACCTTTTTTGAAGATTTTAGGCACATTTTCCAATCGAATTCTTTAAAATTCAGGTCATGTGGTTCTCCATGCAAAAAATTATGGGCATAAGTCCAAATTTCGGCATAGTCCCTTATAAAGAGGACATCGAAATAAAAGTTTTTTGAAGATTTTGGGTACATTTCCCAATCGAATTGGTTGTAATTTGGTATATGGAGTTCGCGGAGGCTGGGCAACCTTCATGCAAAAAAATTATGAACATAGACCCACATTTTGGCATAGCCCCCTTTATAAGTGACATCGAAGTGGAAGCTTTTTGGGGAATTTGGACATATTTTAATCGTATTCGTTTGAATTTGGTATATGGAGTTCGCGGAGCCTGGACAACGTCCAGGGAAAAAATTATGAGCATAGGTCCACATTTCGGCATAGTTCCCTTTATAAATGACATCGAAGTGGGAGCTTTTTGAAGATTTTCGGCACATTTCCCAACCGAATTGGCTGTAATTCGGCACATGAAGTTCTCAGAGGCTGTACAACCTCCATGTCAAAAATTATTGGTATAGGTCCACATTTCGGCATAGTTGCCTTTATAAATGCCATTGAATTTAAAGCTTTTTGAAGATTTTCGGCGCATTTTTCAATAGAATTGGCTGTTACTTGGTACATGGTGTCCTCAGAGGCTGTACCACCTCCATGCAAAAAATTAAGAAGATAGGTCCACATTTTGGTATAGCTCCCTTTATAAATGGCATCGATACGGAAGCTTTTTGAGGATTTTTGGCAGATTTTCCAGTGGATTTTGTTGTAATTCGGCATATCGGGTTCTTGGAGGCTGAAGAACCTGCATGCTAAAATTTATGAACATCTGACCATATTTGAACATAGCTCCCTTTATTATTAACATCGAAATTGAAGTTTTTGTCGATTTTAACCACATTATCCAATTGAATTGGCTGTTACTTGACACATTGTATTCTCAGAGGCTGTACCACGTCAATGCAAAAAATAATTGGCATTGGTCCACATTTCGATATAGCTTCCTTTATAAATGACATCAAATTCCCAGATTTTTTAGTATATTTGCCAGATTTTCTAATGGATGTTTTTGTAATTTGGCACATGAAGTTCTCAAAGGCTGATCAACCTCCATGGAAGAAATGAAGGTCATAGGTCTACATTTCGGCATACCTCCCTTTATAAATGACATCGATACGAAAGCTTTTTGAGGTTATTTGGCAGATTTTCCAGCCGATTTTGTTGTAATTCGACATATGGGGTTCTTGGAGGCTGAAGAACCTCCATGCAAAAAATTATTGACATATGACTAAATTTCGGCAAGGTCCCCTTTATAAATGACATCGATGTGGGAGATTTTTAAAGATTCTAGGCTTCTTGACGATTTTATTCCGATCGATCAAATCGAAATGGTTGTAATTTGCCCCTTGGGAGTTCTCGGAGTCTCCGACAATGTTTTCTCTTTTCCCCAGCAAAGTTAATTGAACGATAAAAAAATTGTAAAGAAGAGAGGGAGGGAGGGGGTTTATGTGGTCGGGTCATAAACCTCCAATGACATTGGACTTGTCAATGACACAAATGAAGTGGCCAAAACCAATTGATAATGTCACAAACTACTATTTCCTTCTTATCGTAATGGTAAAGTTGTGCAGAGCGAGGGAGAGAGAGAGTGAGAGAGAGAGTGAGAGAGAGAAATGGTTGGGCAGAGTGGAGAGGGGGGATAATTAACAGTTGTTGCTGTTGTTTTTTGTTTCCGATTTTTTTGCTGATTAGTTGATTGACATGTGTGTAATATTTTGTTGAAGTTAATCGAAATTAAATAGAATACGCACTAAACGATAAACAATCAAAAAATATGAAGAGCAATGAAAAATGCAACAACAAAAACAAATACGGGGAATGGCAACTATGTGGGGATTTTTTTTTTTTTTTTTTTTTTTTTTTAATTAGCCAAATTATGTGAATTACAGCCGAATAATCGAAAAAAAAACCACCTACCCGTTTTGTATTACGTGGCTTATCCATGCTGATGTTGTTGTTGTGAATATTATTACTATTGTTGTTGTTGTTATTCATCATTAATTAAATAAACTTTTTTTGATGGACAAAAGTTATTCTTCGAAGAGGAAGCCATTATAAGTAAATAAACAAATAAATTTAGAAAAAAAATACACACAAAAATAAATTTTAAAAATTTGTTATTGTTATTGAAATTTAATATTTTTTAAGAATTTAAAAATTAACACTAAAAAATGTTTACTTATTTTATTTATTAAACAAGGCAATGAGATGGCGATGATGATGATAGCCGCAAACTTCTCATTCAGGGCAAATAACAATGATTGAAAAAGCAAATAATAAAATTCTATCTGGACTTCAGTATTTTTGTTTTTATTAACAAATTTGGTGTTTGCTAAACAAATTCACAAGCCGCAACAAAAAAATTTCAATTTTTTATTCCGCAATTCTAGGCAAATGATATTCGAAATAGGTCAACCCATGCAATGAATCATAAATGCGAATATTGCAAATTGCCAATTGCAGGCAATTGTGTAAATTTTGCAATAACTTGGGTAGTTGTTCGATTATATCGATAAAAATTGTTGAATGTAGAGAAAAGATGTTCTTCTTTCCATATCAGGTAAACTTATTAAAATCTACTGATTACTTTAAGAGTTATGAGCCTTAGATGCTGGTTGCGGAAAAAATGGGAAAATTGGAATTTTTTGGGTTATCATATACTTTTTCCGATAACTCCGGAATTTGGTAACATATAAATTTAAAACTTATTAGATGTAAAGAAAAGGTTCTCTTCTTTCGATATCAGGTTGTTTCATGAAAATCGATCTATTATTTTAAAAGTTAGGGGCTCTGGAAAATGGTTGAGGAAGAAATGGACAATTTGGAAATTTTGGGTTATATATTAATTTTTCCGATAACTTCGGAATTTGGTGGACTATATCTTTAAAACTCATTTAATGCGAAGATAAGGTGTTCCTCTTTCCATATCAGGTTATTTCATGAACATCGATTAATTACTTTATGAGTTATGGGCCCTAGAAGCAGATTGCGGAAGAAATGGGAAACTTTGGAATTTTTAGGTTATGTTATAATTTTGCCGATAACTCGGGAATTGGGTGAAATACATCGTTAAAACTTATTGGATATGATGATAAGACGTTCTTCTTTAAATATCAGGTTATTTCATTAAAATCGATTGATTACTTTTAAAGTTATGGGCTCTAGAAAATGGTTGCGGAAGAAATGGGAAAATTGTGAAATTTTTGGGTTATCATCTAATTTTTCCGATAACTCAGGAATTTGGTGACATATACATTTATAACTTATTGGAGGCGAATAAAAGGTTCTCTTCTTTCAATAACAGGTTATTTCATGAAAATCTTTCGTGTACTTTATAAGTTATGACCTCCGGAATACGATTGCGGAAGAAATGCCAAGAAAGTAAAATTAGGGGTTATTTTTTCATTTCCTCACAATTCCGACATTTAGTGGAATATTTTACTGAAACTCATTGGAGAGTTGGATCGGGTTCTCTGCTCTCATATTCATGCTCATTTATATAAATCTTCCATTAACTTTAGAAGATATGGCCTCCTAAATGTGATTGCGCAAAAAATACCTACAATTTGAATTTTTGAGTTCTCCAATTCATTTGCCCATAACTCTGGTAGGTAGATTATTCGATTATTTTGGTGGAATTTATTGAAGGGTAGTATCAGGATCCCAGCTTTCAAAATCAGTCTCATTCCTTGAAATCCGATGTTTAATTGAGAAGTTATGGCCTCCGAAAACTGATTGCACCAAAAAGTCCTACATTTTGAATTCTTGGGTACTATTATTAATTTTCCTATATCTCTGATAGTAGTTCGATTATTGTGGTAAAATTCATTGGGGGATAGGATCGGTTCTCAGCTCTGAAAATCATGCTCTTACATTCAGATCTGCCGTTCACTTTAGAAGTTATGGCCTCCGAAAAATGGATGCAAAAAAATTACTTCGAAATTTAATAATTGGGACTTTTTTTTTACCAAATAGGGCATAACTCTGGTTGTTGCCGGATTATTTAAGTAAAATTCAGTGGAGGGTAGGACAAAGTCGTCGTCACCTTTCGAAATCGAGCTCACTTGTGTAAATCTGGCATTAACTTTTAACGTTATGGCCTCCAAAAAGTGATTGCGTAAAAAATACCTTAAATCGAGAATTTTAGGTTCTCGGATTCATTTACCCACAACTCTGGAATTTACTCGATTATCTTGGTAGAATTTATTGGAGGGTAAGGTCGGGATCTCAGCTTTCAAAATCATACTCTTTTATTTAAATCTAACATTTACTTTATAATTTATGGCCTTCAAAATTTTTCAGCGAAAAAATACCTAGAATTTGAATTTTTGGCTTTTCGTATTCCTTTCCCCATAATTCCGGAATTTGTTCGATTATTTTGGTAGAATTTATTGGAGGAATAGGGTCGGGATCTTAGCTTTCAAAATAATGATCTTTCATTAAAATCTGCCCCTTTCTTTAGAAGTTATGACCTCCAAAACGTGATTGCGCAAAAAATATCTTAAATTGGGAATTTTGGGTTCTCGGATTCATTTCCCCATAACTCTGGAATTAGTTCGATTCGGTTATAATAAAATTCATTGGAGGGTAAGGTCAGGATCTCAGCTATCAAAATCACGACCTTTTATTTAAATCCGTCATTTATTTAAAAAGTTATGGCCTACAAAAATGCTTGCGGAACAAAATACTCAAAAATGGGAGTTATTAGGTCTTCTATAAATTTCCCCATAACTTTGGTATTTGGTCGATTTTTTTAATAAAATTCATTACAGGATAGTGTCAGGTTTTAAGCTTTCAAAATCATGCTCTTTCATTAAAATCCGCCACTCATTTTAGAAATTATGGCCTCCGGAAATGCTTGCGGAGCAAAATAACCATAATTGGGAATTTTTTAGAACTTCTTTGAATTTCCTCATAACTTTGGTATTTGGTCGATTATTTTAATAAAATTCATTGGAGGTAGAGTCAGATTGTCAGCTTTCAAAATCATGTTCATTCATTTAAATCCGCCATTTATTTTTAAAGTTATGGCCTCCAAAAGTGCTTGCGGAACAAAATGCCCAAAATTGGGGAATTTTTAGAAGTTCTTTAATTTAATTAACTTATTGGTCGTATTTGGTCGATTATTTTGGTAGAATTTATTGGAGGTTAAGCTCAGGGACTCAGCTTTCATTATCATGCCCTTCATTTAAATACGCCACTTTTTTTAGAAATTATGGCCTTCAAACATGATTGCGGCGCAAAATACCCAAAAATGGAAATTTTTTTGGACTTCTTTCAATTTCGTCATAACTTGGGTATTTGGTCGATTATATACATATAACTTATAGAGCATAGAAAACAGATATTCTGCTTTCAGAATTATGTAATTTTATTAAAATCCACCCAATACTTCCCAATCTATATACCGTAGAAAAGGACTTCGAAAAAAAATGACCACAAATTTCAAGAGCTGATATTTTGCTTAAATTTGCTCCTATTTGGTCGGTTTTTTGCCCTGGAACTATGGAGATTTTTTTCTATTCGTAAAATTATTTGTATGTTGGTGTACTAAACATCTCAAATTTTTATTTATTTTTTATCAATTATCGGCTATAAAAAGTGTTAATTTTCGGAATCGATTTTTTCTATTACCCACAAAATAAATAAAAAAATACAACAAAAATTATTGGTTCGAACATCTTCACATTAATTTGCATGCTGACAACAATAATAAAAACATACTAAAATTCAAAGTCCCTTCCCCCACACACACACACGCTCACCTCATGTCGAATGTGAAAGTGTTAGTTTACTTAAGATCTGACCCCAGAAAAAAAGAAAATCTAGGTGAAAACATAAATGAGATTTTATTTTCTTTTTAGTGTTTCTCATTATTTTCAATTTATCTCTCACACCCACCCATCCACTCATCCTAGGTCAAGTTCAATGTAAACTAATTTGTTTTGTGATTATTTTTTTCCCACCACATAAGACGACAACAATAAACAACAACACTTGGGGTTTCTTTTGTTTCAAGACCCTTTATTATTATAGCTAGCAGGTTGTTGTCATCATCTCTCCGTGTCTCTTTTCCCTCTCTTTCCACTGTTATTCGTAACAAATCTATAGAAAAACAAGAAACATATGAAAAAACAAAACAACAACAATTACATAAAAACAAATTACAAAACGAAGAAGAGAGGAGAGAGAGGACAACAACAAAACAACACGCGATGAACTACAATTAAATAAAATCATATAATCATCACATGAAGATGGAGGGAAGATGGTGGTGGACAAATACATACACACACAAAGTGGAGGTATTTAGTGTGGCCATGGGGGGTCTCTTCTGGTCTGTCTGTCTGTCTGTCGATTTTCTTATTGATTTTGTGGGAAATAAATTTAAAGATTTTATAACCACTAGGCAATTATCTTAGATAAAACAATTAAAATGGGTATTGGAAGGGAGAATTTGGGAACATTTTTATAATAAAATTGAATTTGGTCGATTATTTTTGGTCGGTTCCTTCAAAAAATATTTAACAGAAATTGAAGTAGAGATGTTCCCCTTTCTGAATCAAGTCAGTTCATAAACATCTACGTACTAATTTAGAAGTTATGACCTCCGAAAAATGAATGCCCGAAAAATACCAAAAGTCCGGAATTTTGCGTTGATATAAAATTTGTCCGATATCTCCAATATTTTTGGTGGGTTATATCTATAAAAATTATTGGAACTGTAGAACAGATATTCTTCTTTCAAAATCAAGTCATTTTATCAAAATCGAACGATTACTTTAGAAGTTATGGCCTCTAGAATATGGTTACGCAAAAAATGCCAAAACTGGGAGATTTTGCGCTCATGTAAAATTTGTCCGATATCTCCAATATTTTAGGTGGGTTATATCTAAATAAATTATTGGAAATGTAAAACAGATATTCTTCTTCCAAAATCAAGT